CTCGCCTCCTCGGCCGCACCACACCCTCTTAAAACCTTCAAACTTTCTGGTCTGCTCGGGCGACGTAAGACCTACTTGACCGTCTCCAGCCTACCGTGTACGTCGATCTTGGTCGGTCCTCCCTCAACGTCTCAGATCCGCACTCTACTGCTCTCGGACCTGGTCTTGGACCGCGACAAAAGACCCAGTCGACCCGCATAGGGCACTTACAACATTTCGCGACATAGACGTCGTCGCCCAACTCGGCGCTACAAACGTCACTTCCTGTCAAACAATAGTCCCAGTGTGGGTCTAAGGAACGTCAGACTTCAGCCCCTTGTTATCTCACACGGCTACAATTAACAAATCCAGGTTCTCACCCCTGTTAGAAAGGGCCTTCCTTTTCGTCAAGACAGAACAGTTTCCAACTCGAACTCCACTACTCGTCTGTAAGGCTTACAGGCGAATCTGTTCGTCTCTACCACGCTGTTGGCACCCAGAGACTCGCCCCTTTATTGTCTTATTAAACCACAGCAGTCGCATCGTCACCATTTACTTTTTGGTTACGCCCGAATTACTGTTCTAAGGCTGCTCAACACATGTTCCTCTTCTCCTTCCCCCTGGTTTCTATGTCTCGGGACTCCCCTGGGGAACATAAAATTAACTGTTCCCAGTCTGAACTTGGGAGAGGTTCAATGTGTCTCCACGGCCAGAACTCCATACTCCACTCCTCCCTTTCACGTCACGGACTTTGAGGTTCAAGAACCTCTCACGCTTCCTCTAGACTACCAAGTGGTAAAGCTTACGTCGTCTGTCCAGTCTTCCTACTACCTGTCTCCTCTCCTAGAGAAATTCGCACACGTTCCGGTAACTGCAAGAATCCACTTCAAGACACTGGTACTTGCGTACCATGCTGCGAATGGATCTGGCCCTTCCTACATCCAGGACATGGTTAAACCGTACACCCCAGCACGTGCACTCCGCTCTGCATCAGCCAAACAGCTCGCTGCACCCGCACTGCGAGGGGGACCCAAGTTCCCATCAGCAAAAACACGTGGGTTTGCTATCCTGGCTCCAAAATGGTGGAATGAGCTCCCCATTGAAATCAGGACAGCAGAAAGGTTACACATCTTCTGGCGCAGACTGAAAACTAATCTCTTTCGACTCCACTCCAAGCGATAGAATTTCTAACAGAGCACTTATATACTAATAAAGGACTGGCTTATCTAAAGCCAGTTGAGTAGCACTTGAAATGATTGGCTCTATGAAACCTGATGTACTTATATGATTCTATTTTCTTCAAGGTTGTATCTTCCTGGTCGAATGTACTTATTGTAAGTCGCTTTGGATAAAAGCGTCAGCTAAATTTAATGTAATCTACAACACGCACCTACAGCTCCTAAAGCATATAATCAGGCTGCACGGACTTCACAGCTGTTCTCACTGTAAACATCGCGTCGCGATGAAAGCAGTTAATAAAATAATATCCAGGGGATGCATGCAGAGCTGTCATTGGCTGAGATAAGTCCGGCCGTGCGTCACGACTCTTTGAAACATCTCTGTTGCCGGAAATACATCCGCAGAGGACCCGTGGAGGATTCGTCAGTGTATCCTCGGTTATAGTTCCTCCAGAGAGCATGGCACGCTGAAAACCATTTCCGGGTCACTACCGGAGGACCGAGGAGGGGAAATAAGAGGAATAAGAAAGGCCCAGAGAAACAAAGCTCCCCAGCTGGAATATAGTGTTGCAGGAAGGAGCCCTCAACCCTTCTTATTATTGTTCTTTGAGGTTTTTTGGTGCTTTACTGCCACCTTCTGCCCTGGAGGGTGGAGCAGTAGATTGGTCGGGAAAAGAAAACAAAAAAGGACTAACTTCTCTTTATTACAGTTGTTCTTTAGAGAAATGGATTGAGCCCTAGACTCGGAAATTAGCCAGCATTTAAGCACTGATTGGCTCTCTGGTCTCTGAACACATTTTTGGTTAGATGCCTGAAATAAGATATGTGGTTAACACAAGATGAAGATCTTTCACGTTTTGTTCAACAACATAAAAACATACCCCCTGCCTCTATGTGTTCTAAGAACGGAAGTTTCTAACAAGTGACTAAATCAGACTACTAAACATCATCATGCTGAACATGAATCGCCTTTAGTTCAGCCTTGATGACGTGAAGTCATGTGACCGTCGTGAAGATCATTGATAGTTACATTTTTCCTTTCTGGCACTTGCATTCACATGTAGCTAATATAAAGGAGTTGTTGATGTGTTAAAATTAGCCTCATCATCAAATCATCTCTTGAACATTGCCTAAATAAAGTTGGAGGAGACTGTCCCTTAACTGGTCTGTTTTTACAGTATGTTATTGCTGTGGAAACACTGAATAAATAGCTTTACAAACCTGACAGTGACTTTGTACATGATCCCCCAGTACTGAAGCTAAATAGGTTGACATCAGTGTAGTTGAAGCCTCATGTTTGCCCCCTTATTTTGTATCAAATTGACCATCTGTCCAGGCTGGCATTGTGGAGGCAAAGTTAGTTAGACACTGCTTTAACAGAGGCATGTTGTGGAGCTACAGTGGTCCTCTGTTAGCAGGGGGGAGGGGGGCAGTGTTGAGGTTAATGAGGCTTTATTGATGCCAGATGCCTTTGCTAAATACAAGGCACTCTGCCAGTACCTGACACTGTAAGGAGTGCTCTGACAGCTGCTACACAGCACACTACCTGTTTTTAAATCCATGGTGAATTAATATTTTTAAAATAATTTAACATTTACTCAAATATGCATAACTGTGATGTTCTATCACATTGAAAAAGCCCTGTTTTTATCTACTGCTCTATGAGATGCTGTACCTGTCAAATTCATATTTTGTGGGATAAAAACACTTACCTACGTCCTGACGCTGCACTGACTGATAAACAACCCATATCGTTTTGAAGCGTTTTCGCTTAATCCTGACGCAGTCACGCAGATCTGCGTTAATGCAGAAGGGAACATGGTTACATCTAAACTGGGATGAAGAAACGAGAGACGCCTGCAGGCCTCCAGCTCATGACACTGTGATGGAGAGTGATTGCTAACCACGACAAACTACCTCCAGTGTATTAGATCCATGGCTCATTGCCAACATATTGACGACTGACGCCTTTACAACGTTTCTCTATCGAGTCTCTCACTCGATCTCCCCTTGAGGCCTGTAATGAGGAGAGCAGAGTGCCACAGGTAGTGTACAAGGACCTGAGTGATGGCTTCATCAGCTGCTCAGTCCTCTGCAAGGCTCTGCTCTCTGGAGGGATCACCACACAGAGATAATGTCAACAGACCACCATGACAAAGGGATTACAGGCTTCAACATGTTTTTGGAACTATTTTTGGGTCTTTATTAGAGAGATAGATTGGAAAGGTGGGAGAAAGAGGGGATGTTATGTGTAAAGGGGCTGCAGGTGGGATTCAAACCTGTGTCTACCCCAGTCATGGACCAACATCTCTACCCTGTGAGCTATGTGGAGACTGGGCTTTAACCATTTTAAACATCGAAAACATTACCTTGATAAATAAACAAGCTTCTTTGATATATTTCCTACAGGAAACATTGCTTGACAATGTTATAGCAACCAGTTTTATAACCAGAATTAAAGCACGTTCTAACCGATCAAATTGCTGTGATCTGAATGAGAAGGTTTTGTAGCTAAACACGAAAGTCAGAATACCTCGTTTGGATTACAGAATATTATTCAACACTCTCTTCAGGATAATGGTAGATGTAGTGAAAATAAAGTCCCGCACTGGCTCAGTAACATTGGTTGGTAACATTTAATCCCCCATAAGCCCCTTCTTAAATAGCCAAGTGATTTCATAAGCACAACTGATAGGCAAAGTTATTTGTATATGATTGCAATTATCAACGTGGTGAAGTAAAGGTTTTAACAAGGCAGGGAGAACAATGGCAGAGAGAAGAGAATAATAGTATTGTCAGAATGTGAGATGCAGTTTCTGGCAGACGAGGCGCATTCCTCCAAACTTCAGGCAGGGAGTTTAAATGTGACCGAGAGAGTGTTTTTATTCCGCAGTCTGTCAGAGCTGCTGCTGTTTTCACATTCACACCTTCACACTATAAAAGAAGAAGGCTGGGTTTGAAGCAGAGGAAAGTCTGGCTCTGACACCTGATATATATTTTTTGCTATGTATATCTCAAGCTACCGTTCACTGTTTGAAGATGCTTATAATTTCCCTGTGAATATTAGCACTGATCTTAACCATTTGAAGTGTTTTTGCTATGAGACTTGTATATCCAAATATCTGCTTATTGCCCAGTTAACATAGTCTGCAAATTCCTGTTGATTTTTTAATTAAGAACTTTCTGTTGTGTAATTAGGCATGAGGAAATTGTTCAGCTCAAAGTAATTGTAAAAAATAAAATCTGATTGGATTTAGTTGGGGAAAACAAATGTTTTGACTCTGATGGAATTATGTATGAACATTTTTTGAATGAGCAGGACTGAAAAGCACATGGATGTTTATTCTTAGATCTGTTCCTTTGTAGATAAACTTCAAATCCTACCTAATTTTCTTGCAATATATTTTGCCTTTATTACTGGTCCTGTGTTTAGATAGCTGAGAGAACTAACACTGGGATGATTGATGTACACCAGTAGTGGAAAAGTATTTAGATCCTTTACCTAAGTAGAAGTACTGACAGCACACAGTTAAAACACTCTGTTGTAAGTCAAAGTAAGTACAAAGTAAGTACAATGTTAACTTAACGTATTAAAACGATTTTGTAAGTAATAAATGGCAAAGAATAACTCGGATACATTTTTTTAAATAAACTAACAAAAAATTAGTTAATTTACTTGTTATCTTCCAATCAGCTACTTGATGAATTGTCTAAGTAATTTTTTGTATGTACTATGGGCAACTTTAATTTGTAAAAAAATATCATATTTTTGAAAAATTTTATGCAATAGTCTTAATTTGTAAAGAAACTTAAGCTATAAAAAAATCTTGAGTGCTGTAGAAATAACAGTAATTCACTTGAATTTGTTGTGACGTTAAATTAGAAAGTATCATGTAAAGAAAAGTGGCTCATCATTGTCATTTAAGGAAGTGACTTTTTCACCAGCAGTCAGTGGTCAGCTCTAGAGAAAACCAAGGCCCATCTAGTTTAAAGTTCCCTGACCAACAAATGGATTAAATGAAAGTTGCATGAAGCTGTACTGACTCTTTCTCCTCTCCCCCAGGGGAAGAAACTGCCCCCCAACATCGACGAGGACGCTGAGGAGGGAGACGTGTCGGACGAGGACAGTGCTGATGAGATGGAGGACGACTGCAAGCTGATGAACGGAGATGTATGTACCTGCCCTTTCCTTTCCACACTTATCTCTACACGCAGCTTTTTCTGTCCAACAGACCAAATGTCAAAGTGTGTATTTCCTGTTCCTTATGTTACAGAGGCCCTATTGGGTTAATGTTAATGGTCTGCTTTGATAAGGGGCGGGACATCTTTAAGCAGTTGACCAATCACATCAGAGCCGGCCTTCTAACCAATCAGAGCAGACAGGGCTCTTTTTGAACATGTCACAGTAGAGACACTACATATTACTTTGAACCTGAACGTGTGCAGAATATGGCCCCTTTAATCTAAGCTCTGGTCACTGAGTTTTTTCCTCCTGTCTCTTCTCTGCGGTTTGCTTTTTCTCTTTCTCTCTGGCTATGTGTTCTCATGTCCTACTCTTCTCTCTTCCTGTTTGTCCTTCTCTTCTACTGTTGCTTGCTTCTTTTCAAAGTGGAAGGTACTGTATACAAAGCTCATTCTCCTCAAAAACATCCCCCAGTCATCTGCCATACCTTCTCATCATACGCTATGCTCCATCAAATTTGCATAGCCTTGCTTGAAATAAAATATACCTTTTTTTTTAAATCCGACCTAAAGTACACATTTTTTTTTTTTTGGGTTCTTAGAAAAAAGTCAGAATTCTGAATTGAATCTCAGAACCCCAAAACCATTTAACTTTTGGTCAGATGTCAAAACTTTTTTCACATGTGGTCCTTATCCATTTCAATAGAAGGCTAATGTTGTTGTATTTTTCTTTTTATTCCAACTGATGAAGTTTAGATGGAAATCTTTCTACGACTCACAGACGAGTGTTAAAATGTATTCACAAAATGACATCAGTACTGAGGCTTTTGGTGTTTGTATTTAAAAGAAAAAGTATCTAAAGCTATAATAACCGGACAAAACAGCATTTTGTTAGGCAGTAAAAACCTCTGAAACAATTATTTGTTCAGTGAAAATGAAAATGCTATGAAGATGAGGTGTGATATCTGATCCAATGAAGTATTAGGACAGATTAAAGCAAGTCAATTATGCAGAAAATCTGCCATCTTCCTGCATCATATCAGTGTGTTGACACTCTGGCCCAATTCCAATCCACCCCCTTCACCCTACCCCTACACACTAACCCTCCGTTTGCACGTTCGCGCGGAGGGTCAGCCACATTAAGTGCTGTTCCAAACCAACGAGTGTGGAGGGGGAGTGGGTTATCAAGCCCTCAAACAGCGAGTCTGCATCGGTGCTGACTTCCCCTGCTCCACCTGACCGGTCTCAACGCTGTGTGTGTCCGTTAGGAAACACGCTGTTTACAAACAGTTCCTGCAAACATCCACTGATAAACTGCAATGTTAACAACCTCATGATAACCTCATATGTTTTTTACTTAGGATCGTACCTGTGTTTAGTCTAGAAAAAGGTAAATGTGTGCATTTCATTATAAAGTTGTGTTTATTTACAGACTGTTGCAAAAACTAAGAAGCTTATAAACATCAGGTTTAAAACTAAAAGAGCTTTACAAAAAAGTAACACAATTAAATATGTTTGGAGTTTTATTTTAGTTATTAATTGGAATTTTTGTCAAAGAGAAGCTAATTTGAAACCGTTGTTACATACAGTTATGGCATTTCCTGTTTCTGCCGGAGAGAGAGGAGGCCGTCCCAAAGCTTGCTGCTGTGTTTACTCCCTGCATTTGACAGGAGGAAGCCTCGTTGAGCTGCGAGTGTCACTCTGTTACGGATTGGGAGTGGCTAGGGTGTGATTTGGAATTGGGCCTCTCTCATGGAGCATGCTGCTGCTGCCTGCTTTCTGAAGTGGAGACACTGCCCCCATGAGGCTGACCTCAGCATGTGCATTATATTCTCTACAAGGCATTCAGCAGTGATCTCTCAATAAGGACATCTTTCATTGATCCATCTGTATAATGTCCTGTATGTCCCAATGCCATCCTGTCTCATGTGGAAACAGGTTCATTACCCAAAGGTCCATCCATCAGTGTGGAGCTCCTGCATCATGAGCATTGATGTGATGCTTCATCCCTGCCCCTTCTGAATGTGTGGAGGATCCTGCATGTTCTTTTTAGTTATAGTACAAGCTTTCTTTTACATTAGGATCTTAATAAAGCGTATTAGGTGCACTTCATCTAGATTTAATTAAATATATATTTTATTGATCACAATTATCGGGAATGTATTGGCCCAGAGGCTTGTAGACAAGGCATTGTTCATGAATTAGAAATAACATGAAATTGAAGATAAACGGTAGAGATATTCAACTTTAGGAAATAAACGAAAAAAGGCAATTATATACAAATATATATCTATATGGAGTATCTCTATTGAACACAAAATATACATATATAGGATTGAAGTGCGTGTACAGATTATTAAACACATATTTCTAGGGATATGCAACATTTGCCTTTAACATTTTTAATGGATAATATATTGACCCAGAAATAATTGCCAACAAATATATTATTGTGTTTTTAAGACCATTTTATGCAACTGATAATATATGAATGTAGTACAATTCCTGCATCATGTTAAAAAATATAAAGGTCATGTCCATTCAGTTCGTAAGAGTCCTGAAGGACTCGTTCATTAAATGGTGCGGAGCTTCTGCATTATGTAACAAATTATAAAACGGACAAGCCAAATCAAGCAATCTGATTGGTTCTTAGCCGTGATATACTGAGCGTATACCACGGGTAGAATTGTAAGTTACTTTTCACAACAAGTCAGTATCCCTCCGCATCTGAGAAAAACAGTATACCGTTGGGCTGAAAAGCAAACTGCCTGCAGTTTGCTTTTCATACTGGAACAAGAAAGCAGCGGAGAAGTAACGGGGCAGAAGCCCTCCTTTTTGATGCAGCGGCCCAGACATAGACATCAAACGGCAAAACATATTCAGTGTGCAGTTCCTTTGGCATTAGGGCAGGGATATCTAGATACTTTTGAAGGTTTAACATAATGAATTGTGCTACTTTTAAAGCAAGCAACGATGCTTTCAAATCTGTAATCAAAGAGGTCCGCAAAACGCTATCGACCAATCAGATTGCTTGATTTGACTTGTCAGTTTTATAAATATATTTAAATTTATTCCGTTACGAAACAAATTTAGAAAGCATAAAATGGAAACATTTAAGATTAACTTCGACCTCCTGGGGGGTCTTACTATAGTATGTAGGAGTGGATTGAGCAGTGCCTATCTCCAGAAAGAAAAGCACCTAAACTACGACATGCAGAGCTACGTGAAGAGCAGGTAGACCAACTGGAAAAGTACCACCATTCAAAAGCTTTCTGATGCGGGTCTTGAAACAAAGCAGAGAAATTATGACCGTTAATGGCCACAGGTGCGAAAGCTCTCTCCAGAGCTACTGGAAGCCCAATCTCGGGGACCGGAGAAAGTGGAGCAATATTCTCGCCACGCTAAGCAACAGCCTCGAACAACCTCAACCTGTACAAGTGACCACGTAAGCCATGCTACTGATGCTGGACAGTTTTTCAGTGGCTGCACAATAAACAGCAACATACACATTAATGTAAATAAACAGCCAAATAATGGATCAACGCTCTCTGTCTAATATGTTCGCTTGCTGTTAGTGTTGTTGCATAGCAACCACCTCGCACTATGTTTTGTGCAGAAGGCAACGGAGGGACTATTTTATTTTGAACATCATTATTTACTAATAAAAACTATTTAAATTAGAGTGTAGGGCCGAACAACGCCCCTTAACCGTGATATAAAAAGCAATACCACGGCAGGCCGTGAGATATGCTCATTATATCACAGCTAAGGGGGTTGTCGACCCTCCGCTTCGCGTCGGGCCGAACCACGCCCCTTAGCTGTGATATAATGAGCATATACCACGGCCTGTCGTGAGCTATTGCTTAAATATAATATAATATGTAAGATGATGTAGTTAAATATAATATAACGGCCCTCGAACGGTACCTGCGGCCTTCGGCCTTTTTAATATTTAACTTTAAACAAGTTTACCTCTACTATTTTTCAATAGAAACTAACGGCAAAACTCTAACACGTTGCATTAACTGTAGTCATACTAACAACAGTTAGAATTTGTATAAGATAAAGGTACGGTTTTTCAGTGTCAAAACCGATTTTGTATCCAACTTTACTATAGATACTCATGGATAACTTTTTCATGGTGCGTTGATCTTTTGGGCTCGCTCTTCGTAAGGGTGTACGTCAGAGAGCCCGAGCGCCTTGACGCACTACAGTGATCGCTTATTCTTGGAGGGGTTCTGAACCCACGCGTGAGCGTTGTCGCGCTTGTTCGTCTCTTCTCTGCTTCGAGGTAATAAAGGGGAGGTTGTGGTTATAGGATAGTAGCACTAAGACGCCTAGTGTATTCTGAAGGTAAAATTGGTTGGTAGGCTTGCTACTCGTAATAACGGGGTCCATTCTGTTTAGGTTTTTTCTAAGTATGGTCGGTGAAGCGAGCGAAAAGATGTAGGGATGATGCGCTGAGGCTAGTAAATTTGTGCCTGGTCCTCAGCACAACACCTAGGTTCTGATCGCGTGAGGAGTCATTTGGAGTTGCTAGGCTCGCGCCCATCTTGTGTTGTCTGTATTGTTCTCATTATTATCGGTGCGAAGTAGCTGAAAGCGTACCTCTTATTGCAGCTTACAGAATTTGGGATGATCGATACATGCTCGGTGCGGAGCGGGCAGTCGTATATGTTACATGTAATTTATTGAGATCGGGTAGTCGGTAAGAGGACATCTCATCGTCGTCGCAGATTGTACGTGCATTAATTGTTCGACGACAGTGTGGTATTCCTCATCCGAGCGTTACTCACCATTCCTACCAGCCTACCGACGTACACTTTGCTAAAACCTCTCTCATCGGATAGGGAAGTAAGACTCGAGTTCATTAGATTAGTAAAGAAGAACGGGAAGTTGACGTTCTAATAACACCGTGACCGCTGGAACTGTAGGTACATAAACGACGGAAAAGGTGGTTACATTCGATACTTGGTTCGTTTCAACTGTGAGTTGTATGTCGACACGAGGAATCAAATGTACTTCCTTACAACACCGTTTATAAATCATAAATTGTCCAAATTTACTAATAATCATTAAGTAATATTCTAAGAGTAACATTCTACTCGGTCTTCTGTCCTCGGTCTGCTCTTTCGTCTTTAATACGTCGACGGTAAAAGGTGCCCCTTTTCTCTTTCCCGGTCACAGGAACTCACTGGTTTTCTCTTTAGGGTTTATTG